AGGGGCCCTGGGAGGAGGGAGCAGAACTGAGGGTGAAGCTGGCTGCAGAGTCCTGCCCAGGGCGCAGGGCGGCTGGTGAGGAGTTAGTCTCCAGCTGTGACCTCTTCCTATAGGGGCCAGGCCTGTCCATGCCAGGGAGGATGACCTTGTCAGGGTGGCGCAGGGCAGGGGTTTCCCCAGGAGGCTGCTGCACTGGCACACCCTGAGGGAGGAGGCTCTGCCCCCGGACCTTGTGCCCTGGAGAGGAGCCGGACTCCTGAGACCAGGGCCCACGGCCAGGGACTGTGCTGGCCGGCAGGCCACGGCTTCAGGTAGGAGGCTGGGCTTTGAGTTGGAACCCAGTAGAGGGGGGCATCCTAAGGGAGAGGAGAGGCTGGGCGGTGTGGTGGCCCATGTGTGTCATCCTAGACTCAGGAGGCTGAGGCAGGAGGGAGTTAAGAGTTCAAAGCCAGTCTGGGCTATATAGGAGGACCCTGCCTCAAAAACAAAGAAAGAAAGAAAATAAGAAAGAGAAAGGAAGGTGGTTTGCAGTTGGAAAGAGGACAATTTTCAGGGGGCAGCGAGGCAGCGAGGCCTGGGAGCTTGCATAGCCCCTGGTCAGGGCAGGGGACAGCAGCCTGGGTGCAGAAGGGGAGCCGGGAGCCTGCCAGGCATGTGACCCAGTGGCCTCTGTGTGTCCAGGGGAGCCAGGGCCCAGGTGCAGCAGCTTCCAGGAGGTGGTGGGCAGGGCCAGGGCTCTGGGTCCCCTGTGGCCAGACAGAGCTGGAGGATGGTGGCACTGGAGATGAAGGGGGCACAAGAGGCATGGACATCGATCCTTGGGAGGGGAGGAAGCTAGGGGTTTATGCAGCCTTCGTGTGTGTGTGTGTGTGTGTGTGTGTGTGTGTGTGTGTGTGTTTTTCTTTCTTTTTTGAGAAAAGGTCTTGCTGTGCAGTTCAGGCTGGCCTTGAGCTCACTTTGTAGCTGAGGCTGGTCTCAGACTTGTAACAATCCTGCCTCAGCCTCCCGAGTCCTGGGACAACAGGTGTGCGCCACCATACCTGGCTTTTGTATTTTGAGACAGTCTTGCTATGTCATGCAGGCGGGCTTTGAACTCCCAGGGAGCCTCCTGTCTCAGCCTGTCCAGTGTTGGGATCCACAGGCCTGCCCTACCTCAGCTGCCACCAAATACATTCTGAAGCATAAAATTCTGTATGAATGCAAGGACATCTGAATGTTTATGCTGTTGGCTAGGACACAGGGCTGGTGCGAGCCAGGGCAGATAGGCAGGCGTCTCTTTGGGTTGCCTCCTTAGGTGCAGTCCATTTGCCTTTTGCCGCTGCATCTCTTAGCCTGGCCAATCAGCTCATTCATACTTGTTGCTAGGAAACAAGGTCCTATGTAGCCTGGGCAACTCCCTGCTACAGTGCAAGGGGCTCAGATGCACAACCGCAGCCACCTTGCAGTGAGCCTGGGAAAGGGCTGGCAACTGGGCGCTTTTGT